TCTATCTATCTATCTATCTATCTATCTATCTATCTATCTATCTATCTCGCTATGTCAAATTTACCTACCCATCTCACAAAAAGCAATTCTGGGCAGCATACAACAATTGAATGCAACAACAAATGTAAAAAATATAAATCCACATTAAAAATAAATATTATAAAAACATACAAGCATAGGCAAAGAGTGGATAAAAATGAGTACTTAACAATGGGCTTCTCTAAGTATGTTTTTGTTTTTTTGGATCCCTATGCCTGATAACAATCAGAATGTAAAAAGCGACGGAAGTAATTCAGTTACTTGGAATAAGTTACAACTTATTAGTCGACATTTGTTTCTTGCAGAATAGCACTAACAATGAAATACATGAAGGATTGTTTGGTTTTGAGGTTCCTGTTGTCTAACATTGCCACTCTTATTTCTCTCTTCTAGACAACTTTCTATTCTAGATGAACATTTAATACTTTAGCTTGAAACAAAATAAGTATCTCACCATACTATTTTCTCCAAAGTATCTTGCAATAATATGCACATTTCTTCAAAAGTAAATTCAACTGTTTTTAATTAGGCTTATTCTGAAGTAATTGTCAACAAGATTGTAATTCTTATATAGAGGTGGAAACTGGTGCCAGCACAAAGAAGTTATTTTGATAAATGTTTTGTCTGCATCTTTCTTCTACAATTTGTAAATTCCATCACACACAATGAGCAACTAATATCCATGGCACGATACAAGGGGAGCGTGAATGGAGAACAATTTAATCTTATAAGTGCCTAAACAAAAATAATCAGGAGGGAACCCTTTTTTTAGTCTTGATCATTATCAACTGGTTGCTGAGCGTCTGCAATTGGTCTGATGGAAGGTAAGAATATGGTAACCATACTCTTAGAAAAGCACTGTTCTTTATAAACAAACCAGAGACTACAAAAATGAAGTTTAAAACTCCAGGGCTATCTCTTATCCAATGGAAGTGAAATTAAAATAGGGGTAATCTAATAATGTTATTGACAAAATATTAATTAGGGCCGGGTGTGGCTTCTTCAGAGGCTAATTTCAGCTTCTGTGCATACCAAAAAGAGGTCCCGAAGCAGCTGTTTGAGCTTTTCAAAAATCATGGGTGTTTTAAGGACTAAAACACTCATGCTTTGTCTATGCCCTCATATGTTGCCATTCAAAACACCTACTTTGAATTTTGTACTAATATATTGTCCTAATGCTATAATACTTGAATAAGTTGTATCTTACTATGTTGAATTAATTTAATTACTTCA